AACAAATGGCGTATGAACCAATCGTTGGTCACCGGCTACCATGGGACAGCATCTCCTCACGATGCTCCACTGCCTTGTGGATCAGACGTTCAGGTCGAAGGCTCGTGGTGTGGTTTCCTAAGAAAACCACCTGCTTCGGTCTGGGCATCCGGGCAGTATCAAAGCCCTCACACATATCAATTGAGATTTGTGTGGCGTATATGTATTTGGTACCTCCTTGTACCAATATCTATGTGTTAAAATAAATAAATAATCCTGAATTCAAAGAAACCTGAACATTGCATATATGATTTAAAAGATCAGATGACATCACATAACAAATAATGTGGAACGACACCATACTTAGGATTTAAAAGAAATGACTATGTATGTGTAATATATATGTAACGCTTTAATAAAATATTACATAGGTATGTCACATTTCCAGTTCTTAGAAGGCATTCTAAAATATTTTAACAGTTTTATCTCTAATTTCGTAATGAGTTTCATTATTTGATATGATTAGATTTCATATTTTGATAAAAACTGGAAGATATTCTGCAGCTTTTGGTCACTGTTATGGGGATTTTCAACGGCATAGATACATAATCGTCTTGTTCCCCAGCAGACAAATAAGTCTTGAAAATGGTGGATAAGTTGGAACGTTCTATGAAAAGTCAATGAATAGTACATATATGCACGATGCTTAAAATCTAACTCAGATTTCCCTCCCATATCAGAAGAAAAGGAAATCACTTTTTACCTCAAAAAACAATGATAATGACTACAATCTCAGTGGTTCTAATTCATAAAATATTGGTTGTTTAGATCTTCCTATTGATGCTTAGGACTGCGATTGATCAGTAATTAGTAATCTTATATTATTAACTTTCTATAATAAAACGCACGAGAAAGCCCGTATATGTTGTAGTAAACAACATAAAACTTTACGAGCATAAATCTGTTGCAACATAAAGTCTATATTAGCCTTACATAACTGCTCCTAGAAAAAGTATAAGACTATTTATCGATGATAAACATAATAATCTAACAATATATTACATCGAAGGAACCATACTATGAAGAATGACCAGTCGTCTATGGTAGTTAGGGGCGGCCAAACAAAAACGTGGCATCAGTCCATAAATTCACTAACTTTTGGTCTGAACCATGTTGGTAGATGCAGATTGCATGGTTGCGGTCCGCGCAAATATCGTAACCAATGGTTGGATACTCTGGATGACATGGCTTAAAATCGATCACAATGGCGTGAGTGTATACATTCTTTGTCTTTCCTTAAACCATGAGATTAAAAATTGCTTTATGTCTTACTTTCTACCAACTAATCCTTTCTTCCTATATTATATCCTTATACATAATAATTCTTTTATATATTACTACCATTGAAGTAACTACTTCTATGAATTTAGTGCTCATCTTGTTGTGCCAATGAGGTGTGGCAACTTGAACCGATGCATATATGTGCCTGGTCCTACATTACAGCTGACTGATTGACTGATTTTTCTATGCTCCCTCTTTTATTTCTGTAACCTATTAGTTTAAATAAACAAGTTAATATTTATAGGTGAGTTACTAACTGCATATAATAGATCTGTGATGTAACTTTAGATGAAATATTTCCTAAAACAAACTTAATAGAAATGCTGGATCATATGACTGAACTCGAAGGACTAACTGTTCTGTGAAATGGTTAGGTAACAGCGAAAAATGTAAATGTTGTTTACACTGAGTCTATCTGTTATATCTAGTTGTTGCAGCGCCTGGCTCACAAGATTTGAATAACCTGTTTGAGCTACAATCCCTTGACAACCTCATTTCTATGAATGCAGGTACTTCTCAATTATCAAACCTTATTAAACAGATAGACAAATATTATGAGCAGAGATGGATAGTGGTTAACAATGGAATCCATTTGGGACTCGTTAGCTGGATGTACCAACATCTCAAAGTCGATGTTCACTCTGAGACTCGAGTCAGTACTGTTCACTTTGAACGCTATCAATTGCATTCCTTAACATAAATCTAAAGATTGGAACGACCAGAAGGAGTGAATTAAACTTCACCTGAGTGTATAAACCAGTGGCTATCTGGATTCAGTAGCTTAATCACTAAACCAAAATTGTTTGAAGTGAACGGTACTGATTCGAGTCTCAGAACGAACATCAAATATGAGATGCACGTAAATCCAGATGACGATTCTCAAATAGGACGGGCCACGCGTCCTAGATTCCGCTGCTAACTCATCATCTATCTCTGTTTATAATGCATATGATTTAAGACAATATCGAGGTAATCCGCATTAGATTCATATATGCAAAAACAGACTGATCAATTTCAGTCCTAAACATCTATGAAATGGTTTAAACAACCAATACTAATGAAATGCCTATATATAGTGCCATAGTGATACACAGCTGTTTAAAATGATTTTATTACTCAGATTATTACCTGAATGATCAATCAACGGTCACAGTACAATAGTCGTACATTAATAAAACTACATAATATAATCATTGTAAATCATTAACAAAATTCATTTGAAAAGTTTTGTCAGTTTCATGACAATGAAACACTTATTTTTAATCATTCCAATAATGTTTACTGATTGTTCAGCATGAGAATTAGATGAAATAATAAAAACAAATTAACATAATCAGTAATTGTTGAATCGTTTAGTTTGATTGACCAATAGTCTTAGTATATAGTAATGTAAACAGTTATTTATATTATCATTTTTATTGTCATAATCGATGGTAATGAAAAAAATATTAAATAATTTCAATGACTATTAAATATGACATTATAAACGAATCATCATCAACACTAATGTTAGGAGTAGTAATGTGATATTCTTATTAAAATTTTGCATCAACTATAGTTTATTACTCATATAGAAGGCATTCCATGTGATCGTATATATGTGAGTGAATGTGTTGTAAGCGAATACCGGTAGTTTATCAAACTTATTATGGAAGTAATTCATTTGGAATTGTTTAAATGAGTTGGCTGTATTTAGATTAATTACCAGAATGAATATTTAATATATATATATATATAGGAGCCCCCTCACTCGATTGGCAGAATGATAGCAACGTTTAATTATTCCACTCAACGTGATTCCGAATAAATTAATTAATCAAGAAAGAACCTTACATGAGCTTAGTTACAAACCATTTAATGTTTATTTTAATATCTTCATTGAATTGTACTATTTAATAAAGTTAACTAAGCCTTGAACTCTCTTTGTCTTGATCATATAGAGTTATAGTTACGATCCTATAATATTATACTATTTATCGTTTTCATTGTATAAATGATCCTCCAGAACCGAAATGAACTAATTTTATGAATATCTAGTTATCTATATGAGTTCTTTCAATGATAAATATCATTTGATTTAAAACTTATCAGACAGTTCGCAAAATCTTGACATGATTATCTGTATAATTCCTAGATTAGATTGAAAGAGAACTGAAATCTGTATTGATCAAGTTAGTCAACGAATCAAAACAATGAATTCTGTAAAATTGAACCCAAAACTATAACAATTACTTTCTAGTATAAGTTTATGATTTAGTCGATAAACGTTAACTTTTGATTCTAACACTGATAGTAATATTCATTACATACTATGCAGTGAATGAAAATTATTCAACCTACATTTATATAAATCATTTAATTACTCTTTTTCTTATGATATATGAAACGTTTCCACGTCGTTACCACATTTCATAGTAAACTTCCCTCTCCCCCCCCAGATTATCTTTTGTCATCAACCCGGTATAAATAATTAAAAGAATAAATAAGTACATCCTGGTAATAAGCATGATATGAGTTCTTAATTGTTGTTTATGTATCACTATGGATTCTAAAACATTGTAATCATCGGTCCGAAGTTCTTATACTAATAAAACACCCCATCAATCCCATCGTTTATGAGTGAATCTTTTCTGGGCTTTATGAAGTATACAGTTGGAATATATATGCTATAGTATGTTCTTACCTCCCATTAAGTAATGAAAAACGCAGTTCCATAAAATATTCACCAATTCATTTCAGACACTACAATCCATATCTTTATTAACTTTTATTGCTACAAAATTCTTCACTACGTCATTTATTCTCATCCATTGAATTACTTTGTACTTAGCAAGCCTACAGTAATATCATTTACAACCGAGTAAATGTAAGGACTCTAAATTCATTATTGAATAATATCACCGGATGTATATAATTCAATATATATCCAAAAATAAAAGTCTATTTCATCGAGGGAGTGGAATGAACGAAGGTGCATTTAATTATTAATTCGTTCTGATACAAGAAATGACCTTAATTACACTGTTCATAAATCAATAGGCTGTTCACTTAAGAAAAATTAAAAGTTCCCGGCTATTGCATTGGATTGCTGTAATATATGTACTACCTAAACAATTACTGAACTAATATACTTAAACCTATCTTATATCACATGTTTGTTCTCTACATCTAATACTACTATTTATATAATTGATCATGCCTGTAAAGTGAAGTGAATTCTGTAATTATTATTTTCAGAATATATATATAATATTATACTATTATAAATCAAATGTTAGAAATTCTGATGAAATCAATTCTTTTTTTAACCATCTAAATATCATTCTAACTCAGTCAGTATTCCTTACCTGTTTAAATGATATCACTGTAAAGTATAAAAATTATTAATAAATTTCATAGTTGACTTCATCAGTCAATTAAAGCAAAACCACTGTGAAAAACTTGGAAGCACTGAACTATCGTTTCGTCCTCATGTGAAACGCTTCAACAGTGCGCATCCATGTTCCTGCCTCACCAGATTCATTCAATGCTTGCAGATTTTACATGGTGATCTAGCTTTAATTGAATCATGAACTTAACTATTAAATTATTATAATTTCTACAAAAATCCGTTTCTGATAATAAATTTTATTCTGTAAAACAATAATAAACTCGAATTTAAAATGAAAGTTATCACTTACGATTATTTGCATGTTTCCATTCATTACACAAATATAATCCATTGAATAACGTAAGAATTGAAATAGTAATGATGAATGGATTAATCTCAATGTTCATTATTATTATTATTATTTTTATTATGGATGATCATCTGATTGTAATCATTGAACTTTATAACAGATCAGTACATTTTGTTTTATCATATTCATAAAGAGTAAAATAACAAAGAACTTGTCCTTTGATTGTATTAGTATATTAATACTAAATGAATATATATTTATTATAAACTAGTAAGTAAATATAAAAATTGAATTAGTCTACATTTATTTGACTGAATTCATTAGTGAATTATAATACTGATCAGCCTTGTAAAATAACAATCCTTTTAAAAATTTTAAAAAAAAAACAGAACAGTACAGTACAGAGTAAAGATAATTTATATTTTAACATGTCTGTACAAACATGAATTACTTATATGGATACTAATTGTATAGATACATCTATATTAAAAATCTTATTGTCCATATTGAAATATATATGCACAGACATATCTAATTATCACAAAAATATATACAATTATATGAATACAACTAAACAAATATGTAAATGCATTCAAATACATAACAACAAACAAAAAAAATAAATAATAAAAGGCATATATTTCACTATGTCATTCATTTGTATAGCTTGAATTAACCATTTCAAATAATGCACATTGTTTGTTCTTTTTTTTAATGTAAACGAAAGAATTCATAAACAGGGTCAATGAATATACTAGTAGATTGGAAAAATGCATACTGACTTAAAAGAAGAGATGAGAATAAAATACTTTATTACACAAGATTATACATGTATATTATTAGTTGACGCCAATAATTGATTAGAATAAGAGGGTTTATCTTTATACTTTCGATGAAAATTATTTTCAATTTCTTACCTTTATTTCTTGTCAATAAGTTGTCAGTCAAAATGTATTGAATTTTTTTTCAAGTTCATCATTTTTGAATATTAGAAATTAAAAAAATAAGTAAACCTAATAGAATCCATTGTATATATAAGATGATGGTGATTAATAGTGGAATCCAAGACGCGTGTTTCGTCCTGTTTCGGACACGTCAGTTGAATTTACCTTCATCTCAGAGTTGATGTTCACTCCGTTAGTCGAACCCAGTATTGTTCGCTTTAAATGTCATCGAGTTACTGACTTAAATACTGGGTTCAGATAAACACCAGCTTGTACAATGGACTGATCAATTGCAGTCATAAACATTAAAGGGAAAATACAAGCAACGAATACTAATAAACTACACTTGAAGTGTATAAATGAACAAATAAACATTTATTTATATGTCTATTTGTACTCACATTTACACATATATACACAATGGTGTTCACTGTTTCAATACTAACTGGTCTTCAAGAATAAGCATATCATTCTGGGCATCAAAACTATTTAAATGCAGTAATTTATAAAGTTCAGTGAATAAAGAATGAATAAATAAAACTTTAATCTGTAGAGACCATGAACACTAATAATAGTTGTGGAACTACATCAATCATTAACTGGTTAAACAAAGATGTTTATTTAATAAACGATTTTCCTGTTAACCACTTGGTACTCTAACATAACTTTTGGGACTAAGATTATCATTCACGAATTTAATGTTTAAGTAACATTCTAGAAACATACTATATTCAGTACTTCTAGCCATTTTTTTATTTCAACTAGTGAATGAGTGGTGCATGTTAGAATGGAATTCCTATTAGAAATTTGATTCCAAGTATTGAAAGGTATTCATAAATATCTGGTGTAAATGTATCAGTGTAGAGCATAACAGTATACAGGATGAAAAACACAAATTAATTAAACCTAAAAGCCTATAAAACGTCTTTTATGAAGACCATACTACTATGCATCACTCAACCATTCAATGAAAGGAAAATTAAGCAAAAGTAATCCATATTACTGGAACACTTAAAACAGTGACAAGTAATCTCAGTTGGATATCAAATTAATGAACCACTGATAACCAAGTCAGTTGTTCAATTAAGGAATTATGTTTATCTGTTAGTTCTAATAAAAAGTCCTTTTAAAAAAATCAAGTTAAAACACTTACTCATCAACATTTCCTAGTGATTTTTAAAATGTATCAACCTTTATTTCTGTAACTAAAATAGATAACATGATTCAATTTATATGGAACCTTCTTTTTCGATTTAAAACTACGGAAAATATATGTCTATAGCTTATTTATTTATTTTAACACATAGATATTGGTACAAGGAGGTACCAAATACATATACGCCACACAAATCTCAATTGATATGTGTGAGGGCTTTGATACTGCCCGGATGCCCAGACCGAAGCAGGTGGTTTTCTTAGGAAACCACACCCCGAGCCTTCGACCTGAACGTCTGATCCACAAGGCAGTTGAGCATCGTAAGGAGATGCAGTCCCATGGTAGCCGGTGACCAACGATTGGTTCATACGCCATTTGTTCCTTCAGGATTCTGGAGCCCATGTGCACCATTGATTTGCGATCCGGGTAAAGCGCCAGACATTCGCTTTTCGTCCTCTCATTTTCGTAAACAACACCCCCGCCACGAGAAGGCAGTGAGTAGGACTTCCCTGGCAGGGGCTATGTACGCGTGGCCATGTGAGAGCATTTCGAGAGGGAGAGCGGACTCTCCCCACTCTCGGCCGTACCAGGGCATTTGGGGGGCATATGTCTACAAAAGGATAAAAAAATCGCATCATACATTGATTCGAGACTTATTATCAAATGAGGTTACACAATAATCAAAGGGTAAGGAAGGAATATAAGGATGAAAATAATATACGGATCAGATAATTGCTTAAATTATTGTTAATCAATTTGTCATATCAGAAGGGTTTTTTGTTGAGATTGTAGTAATTTCTATGGTTGAGATCATGAGATCAATTAATTATTCCCCTGTTACTCATGTTTTGTATCACTTATAGCTCAGTTGTGTACATGATTTTATTTCTTATCTATCTTAGTGTATGGTCAGGTATTTAATGTATATTATCACATGAACTTTGAGTCAAAACAACAAAAAGATTTGTTGTCTAGCTTCATCCTCTAATTGGACATTGAGTTAGGTGGTTGTGGATTATGAATGGATATGATTCGTCTGTTGTCGTTCGTAGTCATTGTGTCCTTGGTAGAATAAGTTATTGGTATGGTAGTTATAAAGGTGAACTAAACGTTCGATAAACAACGGTTACTTTTATCAAACGGCCTCACAACACAGCACCCAACAACAATAAAAAGATTTATTTCTTTACTTTTTGGTTCACACCACAACTGATTAGCTATTTTAGATTACGTAGGCAAAATAATTTAAAAGTGTATGGCAGATTTTATGTTCTTGCATAGTGGACATAAAATTTGCTCCGAATTAGCGTATTGCTCATTGCTCTATGAGATTTATTTCAATGACCTGTGTATTACTTGTAGAAATGAGTAATTATGCGAAAAGTATGAAACATTGAATATAATAGATCAAAGGAAACTTGCACTTACACTAATAATACAGTGGTAACCTTCCTTAAATAACAAAAGAACTCATGTATTTATACTTCATAATCAATCTTCCTTTTAAAAATATGTAGCTTTTATTCTCAAAAACATCCAGTTATACATATCATTGATATGAAAGGGGAAATATACATAACTTCACGTGAATATATCACTTACTAGTCTAGTCAAATACGACTTTTACTTTATGTACTTATATCACTATCTTATAGTAACTTTCTTCATACTTTTGATATGTTTCGATCATTTTCGTCCAGTTTACTTGTATGTTCAGTTGTTTTTTAAAACACTAATTGACATAGTGATCTCTAGCTAACTCAGTAAATCATATCAAAGTAATTTAATTAAGCTGTAGATGTCTTTATATGTCCTAAATGCAAATAGACACTTTACTGTGTTTACAAGTAAAATCATGGGTCAATTGTAGCTAGACCACCATGGAAAAACTTGAAAGACTGGATGGCCGTTTCGTCCTGTTGTTGGACTCCTCAGCAGTGAGCATTCGCGATACCGCCTCGCGAGATTTGAACCCACGACCTAATAGTATCGCGCGCAAGCGCTTAACCATTAGACCACTGGGATGGCCTCATCTAACTGTGATAATGTCTAACCTTAACCAATCCACGAAATCGTGCAACCATACACCATTGTCTTCAGTGAGCTGATATCTCACAACAGACCTAGTTAAACTCCATAGGTCACGGCTTCTCAATAGAACTCCAGGAAATACCTGTTGAAGTTAGTCACTAATGAGCAGATGATTATTATCAGAAGTTTTGTGGAGATTTTAGTGATTTCAATGGTTGAAATCAGAAGTCAATTGAAGCTAGACCACCATGGAAAACCTGGAAGCACTGCATGGCGGTTTCGTTCTAGTATGGGACTCCTCGGCAGTGCGCATCCACGTTCCCCCCCCCGCGAGGTTTTCCATGGTGGTCTAGCTTCAATTGACTCATAATTTCAACTATTGAAATTACTAAAATCTCCACAAAACCCCTTCTGATAAAATGTAATGCGTTAAAATAAAATATTAATTTACAATACAATTATCAGATCTGCATCAACTAAATGTTGTCATTTGAAGTTGGTAAATTTCCTTAAATCTCATTGGCCAGGTAAAAGACAATCTCATTGGTTCAACGGTCATGGTGGTCCAAGTTTAACAAAATAATCACTGAATCAATCAACGAGACATGTTTTAAGAGTTATGAATATCTAAATTTCGGACATACCTTCACATCTATTCCACTGATAACTCACCGGCAGTTCTTGTAAAACATTTTGCAGACGTGTTTTGTAAATGTATCAGTATATTTGTCAATCCATTTATACCATTATTGAACACTATTTCGCCGACTACCTTAAACACGTTTGTTTCTAGATACATGAAACAAAACTAAAAAGTTTAGTAAATCAGGTTCCAAATATAAAATGTTTATTCCTTACCTTATATTGTGCATTATAAAAGTCAAAGTTTAGTTATCATGAAATATATTTGGATATAACTGTTTAAATCCAAATCATTTAATGAAAATAAGTTATTCAGATCAAGTTATGATAATGATATCACTATTATTTTCAGTCTGATCTAGGCTTATTGTCCACTTTACCAGCATTTACAAAACTTTCAATTTCGCATTCATTTGACCCGCGCAAAATTTTAAAGTATCCATTCATACCCCAATCTTCATTCCATGAGTTGGCACATAGCCAGTAAGGAATATCGTTTTCTATACCCCATCCAATTATTCGAACTGAATGAATGGTAACTAATCGTCCGGTTATATGTTTATAAACACCAGATTTATAGTTAAAAAAATCAGAATGCACAAAAATACCCGCTTCAACTGGTCCATTCATCATAATTTCTTTCCTAATATCACTTTCGTTTGGTCTAAGACTGTAAACGGATTTTCCTATAAATAAAAGAAGACAATCGAAATAGTCACTGATTAACCTGGAAAACAATATATATTTTAGTATTTTACAATGTTGTAAGAAGATGAATCAGACTATACTTAGTATACGGTTTGAAATTTCGATTCAAATATATCATGAGTATAAGATTTTCTGCAGTTTTTAAACTGGCTTTACAAAGTAAATATTCAACTTTGAGTCATCCATTAAAGTCTTAGATTTAATCAAACTACTAAAAAATTACTTTATACAAGTTGTTGCGCTTTAATACATATTCATCCATACAATCAAAAA